ACAAAAGCTCGGGGATATTTTGGGGTCGGGGAAACCCGATCCCTATTAGGGGACGGGGACGGGGACGGGGACGGGGACGGGGGGGGGAGGGATCGGGGACGGGGGCGGGGATTTTGTAATTTTTGGGGATCGGGGACGGGGAGGGGGCAATCCTCAGCCCTGCCCTGGCCCATTGCCATTCCTATTCCTGCTTGAATCTCCAGGTTCGTGGTTCCCAGTGGTTACGTTGGGGTGCCATTAAATTCAACCATGAGGCTGCTGGATTGCTCCAAATCGTCCTTGTGAAGGCCAAGCTCCTTATAACATCTGACATAGATGATGTCACAGGAGCTGCCTTGATCGATCAATATACGCCTTACCTGGCAGTCTCTAATCTTCAGTGTCACTACTGGAGCATCATTGTACGGATGTTGTACCATATCTAGGTCTTTTCTGTGAATGAGATCATCGGCCCCTGATGTTCCTCCATCCAGGGCTTCTTCTGTTGGACTTGGTAGACATACTGCAGATGCCTTATCCTCTGTGTCTCTCCTCAGATCTCGTTCGCATTGACCTTTGTATACATCACATTGATAACCCGTGGTCCATTTGCTTGTGGTAACAGGGGGTGGTGGTGCTGCCAGCCCTTGGGCCAACCTCACCTATTCTTTTCATGTCTTTGCTTCGTCTTTCAAGGCTCTTTGGTGTCCCTACCTGACCAGATCCTCCAGGTGTTGTTTTAGAGCCCGAAACCCTTGACTCATGTGCCCGTTCTCATCATGGTAGGCACAATTCTTCCTGGGGTTCTTGCCTATATACTTCCTCAGGGTCTTTTGTGGTACCCTAAAGTATAGCTGATTTTTGATCCTTTTCAAGACCTTGTAAATAGGGATCTTGAAAACCGTGCTTACAGGCATAGCCTTCAATCTTGGTTTTGGCTTGTCGGCGTTAGTATTTCTTCAATTGTACTTTGGTGAGCTGTTTCTCTTCTTCTGCTTCGCTGTACTTGTCTTCTTTGCTTTCCTGTCTTCCTCTGCCTTCGCGTACTTCTCAATCCTTGCCCTGAGGTCCTCCATGTTCTTTGGGAGGGTCTTTGCAAGGGAATGCCAAAGCGGGTAATCATCCTCCAAGCCGTTCCTGAAAGACATAACTGCAAGTTCCTGGTTACAAACCGGGGTCTTGTTGTAAACCTTGTAGTATCTCTTGGCGTAAGCCATAAGGCTTTTGCTATCGTTAATCTTCAAAGCTAATAAGGAATCTACACTCAATAGCTACAATCTGTTTGTAACAAATCTGGCAACAAACATTTCGGCGAGATCGTCCCAATTTTTCATATATCCCTTTGACAATTTAAGGAACCAGTCTGATGCTATCTCCCTAAATGTCGAAGGGAACACATTGCATATCAACTGCTTGATCCCACTCCACAGAGACATCACATTCAAATACAAACCAACATGGAAGTTTGGTTTGACTCACCATCATAGATCTAGAATCTCGGTATGTTGAATCTCTTTGGTGCCTTGAATGTATCTAACTTCACCGAGAATAGTGTCCTTAGCTAGGCGATGGATGTGACCTCGTTGCCCTACCTCTTCCTTTGGAGGTGGTCTCTAAAATCTTCTTTCGTCGGTTCAAGAGCTTGGCTATCGGTCTATTTCACCCTCTTCGGCGCGCTGCTACCTGTGTTGGGATGCGTCCTTTTGGAATTCTCCATATCTATTACGCTGTCAAAGCAGAGGGCCTATTCGTTGACCTGTCGAGATCTCCCGATCTAGGTTCCCTTGGTCCTCGGGGTTCTTAGGACTCTTCTCGCCGTGATTCTATCCACTCGGCTTTCTGTGATCGCCGATGTAAATTCCCATGTCTCTTCTCATGTTGTGGAATGTTTGACACTGCAACCAGTCCTTCCTTTTAGGCGTAGGCATTTCCTGCTGGAGTCAGCATTTTCGATAAAGGTAACGCTGGTTGCATTACCTTGCCCTGCATCATGAAGTTCACCGCGGTCTGTAAGTCCGTCAACTTGTTCGCCAAGTCCTTCAGCTCCTCGTCTCTTCTTAGGCACCTTTCTTTCCATACCTGAAAGTCGCTCTCGTTGTAATATTCTTATCGGTTCCCTCTTCTCAGGCCATTATTTCCACTTCTAGCATTGTTTGCCTCAAGATTTACTTCTTGCAGTTCTTCGTCATTGTTTCCTCCTCTAGTATTTGGATCCATGTACTCCTCTTCCTCACTGGGTATGCTGTCCTCGGCTCTTACCTCTTGTCTAGCGTTGGCTATCTATTCTGTACTAAGTTCCCACATACAGTGCCAAATTGTTGAGTGTTGATTTCCGACCTCACAACCAAACAGGGAACTTAGTTAGAGAGCACGCAGGAGAATAGATTAAACCAAGCATCTACTAACAAGAAGATAAGAATACCATGGCAGCTGTCCACCCAGGATCACTCTGAAGATCAAGTCAATCAACCTATCTCTCAAAGATATCAAGCAAATGACACAACACTCAATAAAAGCATACCTTAGACCCATAAGGGTGCCTGTGCCCTCGATCTCTAGAAGTCTCACTTCACAAGACTCAAACACAATGCTTATCTCGGACTCTTAGTTAGATATGGATGAACTCCTCAAAAGTCTCATCCTGCTTGAATCTTCAGGTTCATGGATTCTTAAATTGTTTTTTTTTCCAACTACTTCCAGCTCTATTTGCATGCATTTATTACACACATCTATATATACATTTGGAAATACAATATATATTTTGTTATGCATGCGCGTTTAGGTTCAATTTTTTTTTTTAATACATGACAATAAACATGTGTATGTAATTTTCCAAAAACTAATTTTGACATTTATTTGTTTGTCACCAATTTTTTCTTTTTTATTTTAAATTTGAATCTATTAGAAAATAAATTCATTACAGTAAATGTGTTAGTCGGGTTAATTTATCCAATTCGCATCCAATTTAATTCAACACATTTAAACCCATTTAGTAAATAGGCAGATTTAGATTGAATTATTTTAGTATCTAACACGTTTTAGCCGCTCAAACTCGTCCATTTGCCACTCTAGTCATAACTAATATCTTAATGAGTCATAACTAACACTTTGTTTAGATGGAGGAGTTTGGTGAGAAAAGAAAAGAAATTATGAGAATAGAAAGCCCTTTCACTTGTTTGGATGGTTAAGTAGGGTGTGAAAGGGTGAGAAAAGGACTCTCACCAAATATGTGTTTCATTTCCAACTAAAAGTGGAAAGATTTAGTGAGAAAATAATTGGGTTTAACGAAATTTTTATAAAATACCAAAATTACCTTTATGAAAAAACATAACGTATTAACATGAAATGTTATTTTAGTAAAATGAAATAAAACACTTCTTCTTTTTTTCCCCTGTCTCTTACTTATTCTATTCAAACAAGATAGGTGATAAACTAAATTCTCTTCTTTTTTATTCATCCAAACATAATAGTGAGAAACCACAATCATTTCTTTTCCTACCTCTCCTCACGATCCAAACGGATAAGTCAAAACTAACACCCTAATGGGGCATAACTAAATACTACAAAAGTCGTAAATAGGGGCATATGGTACACATTCCAAAGGGGGGTGTATCATAAAATTTCCCATATTTAAAATTTAAAATTAACAGTTTATAACTATCTTGTAATTATAAATTGTAAAACCAATCATTTCGTAATATAAAATATATATATATATATATATTAATACAAAATTTTCATAACTATTGATCATAAAATAGGAATATTCATTCCATCTTAGAGGATTTGAATCCTTCTTTTGTTAAATGTAACTAGAAAATATCAAAAATCCAAAATTCCAATCTGGTCTAATATCATATTGGATCATATGGGATTTATTCCCGTTCTTCTATAATTGAATATGTTGGATTTTGACATTAAACGGATTACTGGATTAGATATTTGTTAATGGTATTGGATTTTTCAAGTCAATCCACTACAACAAATTTGGTTTTTATGGCACCAAATACACGTCGTGGATACGATTCTACGACACGCAATGTAAAGTCGTGTTATGACTAGTCATGAAAACTCATTCACTTCAACGGCATGCCGTAGTACGTTGTTAAAAACCCATTAACAGCATATTTTGTGAGTCGTGTTTGATTTTTCTACAACTACTTTTGCACGCCATTAAAAACCCTTTAACAGCGGATCTTGTATGTCGTGTTTGAATTTTCTACTACTTTTGCACGCCATTAATTCCTAGGACAAACCAAAACTCTCATTGCTCGTCATAAAATATATAATACAACGACCTATTATGCCTGCCGTAGAATATATAATTTTTTTTTTTTTAATTGAACAGGTTCTATTTGACTTGTTTTGTACAATCTAAAAAATATTACAAATAAGTTTCACAAAACATCAATCAACCACTAAAATATTATTTCAAGCATCAAAAAGTAGAATAATTTTATTCCGTTTCAAAAAACAAGATTGCATTTGGGGACAACTCACTTGAAGGTTCACAGGGATCTTGGAGTAGTACAATTAAGGTGGGCTACTTAAAACAAAGACATAAACTACAATTACAAATATGCTTTTCGTAACCTAGTAATACAATATGACGGTGTGGTAGCATAGCTTAGCCAATGTGCACCAACATACTCAAACAGTGGGCTATCAGATTATGCAATAACAGTTCCATGAGCAGGTAGACAGATCATGTAATCAATAGATCATATTGGCCTGAGGGTGAAGAATGCAAACGATTACAATAGCTCACTAATTATACAAATTGAACAAAGAATGGTAAATGTGACAACAATTTGCCAAATCTAATGATAATCATAAAATCATTAAAAATTAGACAAAGTGATAATTGTAGAACCAGAATAAATGCTTAGTTCTTTTTATTTTTTGTAGAACAAAGATTGATAAATGTGACAACAAAGTGATAATTGTTATCACATTCTTTAACAGAAAAATTTTCAAACACTTGAATCTCAATAGATAAGAAACAAACTCCACAAGCCATATAAAAAAAAATTTAATTCGATAAATTATTCTAACCTTAATTTGGTTTGTTCAATTATGTCAAATCTATAGAATTTCTTGTATTTTTTTCTCAAAACTCGGGAAAAAAATAGTGTAATTTATAGGTGGTACCTTGAATCTTAATGCAGAAGAGCTGGATTCAACTTTGACATGATCAGAGAGTGAAATTCCAAAATGAAAAGAGTCCTTCAATGAAACACTAGACTTTCCCTGAAGCCAGCAACACATTTTGCACAATGTTAATTCAAAGAATTCACCGCTGATTGTTAGTAACAAGAACCAAAAAAAGGGGGGAGGGGCAATGAACCACTTTGGGAATGGCGAAAGCAGAGGGAAGCAGAGCAGCAGCCTGGAGAGCCATGAGCACCTTCAAATGATGACAGTAATAAGTAAGAACACACAACATATATTCATAGAAATACAAATCTAATGTCTGACACAAAACGGGAAAATCGTTGTGGTGGGAAACCAAGTGGTCCAAAACAAGGACAAAAAATAAAACCAATCAAAAGAGTAGTGGCTGCTATTATATATTTGTAACAGCAGCCACTACTCTTAATAACACATAAGAGACTTGAAGCAAGTAACTATTCTAAGAAAGGTTTTCCATCCCTAAGCCAGAAAGACTTAAAACCATTAGTAAAAACTGTCAAGAAAAGGTCACTGCTAATTGAGGAAACTTCAAAACTAGTAATAATCGAGATAATAAATATGCAAATAAAAAGAATTGACAAGACTAACCTCATAAATAGTCTCTGCGGATTTAACATATGTACGCCAGGTCCATCTCCTTTCCAAATGCCCTTTTGATGGCCTTAGAGCTGCTTCAGGAATTGCATCATCCATATCCAGTAAATCGATCTTGAGTGCCCTCAAGAATTGAGAAGCTTCGCCTACTAATGGCCTTAGTGCACACTCAGGAATGACACAGCAATTACCAACCTCTGGAGCTGGAGCTCGACTGAAAAATGACGAGTTTTCCTCCATTTGTATGAACAATTAAACTTTGATTTAAAATTTGGCAGACACATCCATAAACTCCCTAGTTTTGTATAACTAGTTGAAGGTCAGGTCAGCAAATAGAATACGCTGAATATTGCACAAGGAGACTAATAGTATCCAAATAAACTGACGCAGGTTCCTATTTTTGATGGATCTGAAAGGGAGTGGGTGGAAGCAATTGAACAAGTTGGGTTAAGGGTGGCCACAGATCAGGGAGGAAAGAGTTGTGAGAAAATGGCACCTTTTCTTAATGAACCTGTTCATGCAAGGATGAATGATTCTTTTGTAGTTGCATTCCCTTCTCCAGAAGTTCACATCGCTTGTGGAATTAACTTCTCGCAGGTATATTTCTGTGGCTTTGCTAAATAGTATGTCATTAGAGAATACGAAAAATGACACATTCTGTTTTGCCGTTTGTTTTTATTACCCAGTAAATAAACCTCTGTGCTATCTGCCTTTTTCTTCTATGAAGAGGCAATGAAATTTCAAGAACTCTTTTCAGAATATTTTTCTGCACTACTTTGACTTGATAGTTTATTTACAGTCATTTTCTGCTCGCTGCTTTCATGTGTGTGCATTAGAAGATTTACTGTTTCATTGAACTGTTCAAAACTATGACATTCAACTGTGCAACCACTTAGTACAGATACTGTGTTTTGACAGAATTTAGCATATTTAATGCTCTTAATGATATATAGAACCTGTTTAGCAAATAGAGATCCCCCTTCCCCCATGGTGTGTAGCTACATTGTCTTCTTCTCAAGTAGTAATCTTAATATTACATAAAGATAGTACAAGCTCAGCAATTCTGACGTTGAGGATAGTGTAATACTTTAACAAATGAATATGTTGAAAGAAATGCCATGAGATTGTGGTCTCTAAGAAGGTGACCACCAATCATAGTAACGCCAAGGGTAGTGGGAGGGGATAGGAGTTCTAATGAAACTAAGAAATGGTTGAGGGAGATGAGCCAATTATTCTCTTTTCCTATCAATGAGGAAGGTGTGTTCCAATTTAAAGAGGTGCTCGATGCTTTGGGGTTGTCCTTGGTCAGCTTGGGAAGGAAAGGCCATAGGATTAAGCAAGCAATTGTAAGGTGGGGTGAGGGAAAGAAGATGCGAAGGGAGTAGTTCGAAGTAGTTAGGGAGTGTTAAAAGATCAAATGTTTCTAGGAAACTACGTATCTAACTGCATCATATATGTCGGGTTAACTATAAAACTAAATTGTTGCTGCCTGATATATATGGTAGATGGTGTACCAAGACTCTCTGGTAAAATTAGGAAAACTAAATGAAGTTTTGAGCTTGACTAAATATTAAAATGCTACACAGAATGAATCTCAATAACTTCATTGTTGCAGGTGCCTGCTATTGGCTGCCAGTGGTTTTCTTCCACCTAAATTGGCAGCACTTTCTATGCTAAACAAATAGGTCCTTCAAGGACCTTTTGCATTTATGAAGAGGTTCATTCTAAACTCCCTCAATCATCAATGCAAGCACAAATTTTGATATTGCATGTTCTGGTTCTTGTTTCTGCCACCTGAGATGTGTAAAGGGCATTGGAAGCAACTTCAAAGAATTAGGTTTCCTTGGCTATTAAAATGATTAAAATTATCTTTCCGGAAATGTCCTTTGTAAGATCAAAAGGGAGTGATATATTCCTATTTGCCTGAATATGCTCTTTCAAGTTCATTTTTGTTATTTGTTTTCCCTTGAAGTATTGATAAGTGATAGTCCTTCTCAACTTGAGTTTTTTTTATTACTTTTATTTTTTACTTATATTTTCGTTTCTCCAATTTTTTTTTTTTGTAGTTTTATAAAGACCCACTAATTAAAAAAGAATCTTTTGGTTCATTATACTGCTGAGTTTAGATGTCCAGAGAAAAAATTATCTTCCTTGGTGTACTAGTTTAGTCATCTTGCACTGAATCCATGTAGTTAGTTTTGGAGTCAAGGTTGGAAATTGTTGCAGGTGGAGTGATTGCGCAATGCAGGACTTATTAAAGGTGGCTCAAAAGAGAATGCCATTGTTTGTAGGTGAGGTGGTTCATTTTGTGAACATTTAGAGAGATTTTCAGGATGAGAAAGCATGTTAGGATTCCTTAAGTTCTTGGTGCTGCAGTTCAAGAATGTATTTTGACAGAATTGTGTGCTTTGATCACTTATGAGGTGGTTGTGTAATAATTTTTTTTGCAATGAATCGTAAGATACCTTGTATGTGTGAATTGTGATTGTAAAGCATTATGTTTAAAACCTTTGGTAAAAACTTGTTCAGATTGGAAACCATTAAAAGAAATATTAAATTTTTGAATCCTTCTGCATATTCTCTCAACCAGAAACTTAGAAAGCTGTTGAAAATTTAACTGGAAATTTATGCCATTTTACCCTAGAGAGTTATTTTGCAGAGTAAAATAATTGCAACATGCAAATAAAAATAACTATTGCCAACAAAATCTTTGTTAGGTTTTATTCTTGGCAATCCCGTTTGACAAAACTCCTTTCAGTTATATTTATTTTCGCACTTTTATTTCAGTGAGGCTATGAGAGTTTTAGATGCGAATCCAACCCAAATTATGCCGTTCAGAGAAGTTTGTGATGTTAATGCTTTCAAGATTGCCACTTCGCTGATTATGACGGGGATCGAGCTGCCCGGTTAACTCCCGGGGGTCCTGGGGGCAGCGCCCCTGGGCGGGTCCGGGGTAGCGCCACGGCGGGGTCGAGGGGCAGTGCCCCCAAAGCAAAATGCAAAAAATGCATTCCAAGTTGCCTATCCGCTCGAGCGGAGAATCCCTGGTTCCAGAAGTTTTGGTTGCCTATAAAAGTACTGAGCTGTGTGATTTCGCGCTCGAGCGGGGTCTCTAGCGCTCGAGCGGACCTCTGTTATATGACGCGCATATTTTGCTAACGACGCTCGAGCGGGCTGTTGGGCGCTCGAGCGGAGATCGCGGGACAGATTCTATAAATTCGCGTGTTGGGTCAGATTTTAGGATTACTACTCCAGATCTTCTTTTTGGTTTCTAGGGTTTATATCTGGGGATACTTTGTGAGTTTTCTTTGATGTTTTATTGAGTATTCAACTCATGGTTTAAAGAGAGTACATCAAAGGTTGTGTTTTGTTCTACAAAAGACAGAGTTGTTCTTCGGTGGATTCTGAAGAATTCGAGCCTGAAGTTTTGGTGGATTCCGGGGTGGCTCATCGTAAAGACAATTCCGAGGTGAAGATGGGGTTGGAAGAGGCACATAGAGGTTGGTTCAATTAGGCGTTGCGGATTCGCTAGGTAATTGAGAGTATACCTGTGTAATTCCTTTAAATCTTCTTAGTGGATTGTTCTTGTGGTCGTTGCCCGTGGTTTTTTTATCACAATTGGAGGTGTCCAATTGTGGTTTTTTCACGTAAAATCGTTGTGTTTCTTTGTCTTGATTGTTTGATTGGGATTGTTATATTCTGCTTAAAATTGATACATAATCACAAATCAACATCTAGGGGATTTCTAGATTTTTCAATCTTTCTTCATGCAACAATTAAATATTTGCATTACATTTCAACAACCAAATTAATAAAGAAATAACAAGCATCATGCATAAAGACTGTTAGTTGAAAAACTAAAGATTTTTAAGCTTCAATGCTGAAATCTAAATCAACTTACCCCACCCATCATTTTGCTTTTATGATCTGTCTTGTGGATCGACTAAATGTTAGGTTCAGATCTTACTATGAAGCCACATTTGTTTGACGAAAAGGATAAATAATATCGTAGGCTATGAAGCATTGACACTATGAAATAGGCATTGTAGCGGTGTTAGACATAGGGATACGACGGGGATACACCACGTGGCTTGTCCCTTCATTTGGATTCAGTGGGTGGGTGGTAACAAAGAAAAGATTGACCATTAAAAAATAACTAAATAGAAATTTCTACATATCTACATATATTCCTAGTTGTTAGCAGAAGCGAACTAGAATCATTTGACAAGCATGACTTTTCACTCGTTCTATGGATTGATATCCAATTAAGGATTGACTTTTTTTAACATCTCATACTGACAAACATGTCAATTTTTGGCAAAAAACAGTAACAAAAAGATTGACACATGCATGAAGGGAAGGAAAGAGCAAAGAATGGGATATTAGCCAACATTGTGTACAAAATTTCTACCCTGCGAGAGTCAAACTCTTACAAGCATTGTTGTTAAATTAAATGTACAGTGACAAAAATTAACGCCAAATGGAAATATGCACAAAACAGGGACAAGAGAGTGGAGCTCTTAAAGTAACCTCATTGTGCCAACACAGTTTTTTTTTAGTCAGGCATTTTTATCAAACAGTTAGAGGACCCTTAATATCAGATAACATTTACAGACTACCATCTATTACATATGTACAGATATACATAGCATGTATATATTGATGAGAAACAAATATATAGGAGAGGCTGAAATGTCCAATTGAAATGAAACTAATTTGAATCAAATTGAATATTTAAAGGACAAAATTAAAATTAGAGGCTGAAAGTGGCATGAACTTATTTTAGGAAGCATAAATGTATTTTATCTGGAAAACAAATTAACAACTTTTAGGTTCAAGATACTTACATAGTCCAGTAGGAGATTTCCATGCCTTTCTTCCATGTTCCTTACCTGCAACAACAGATAAGAGCAATGATCCAAATCCAAAAACAATTTGGAAATGGGAACAACAAAAAAGTGCTAGCAATAATTGCATGTTCTAAAATTACTATTAGGTGATGCACTAACCTTCTTCCTGTAAGTCTCTGCCTGAGTTTTCAACACATGGTATTGTAACAAAATTCATGAAGCTTTGGATAGTTAGCTAAATTGATGCAAAAAAAATTCCTATGTATTCATTCTAGACGCAAGAGAAAAGAGATTATGAAGGAGCAGGAGAAAGCATTGAAGTAGCAAGAAATGGGAAACTCACACAAGGAGAATAGGAAGATTGAAATGATGTTATCTATACAAAAAAATGCAAAAGAATAATTTAAAAAAGGGGGGGGGGGCAAAAAAAGCCCAAAAAGGCTATTCACACCAACTGCATAGAATGATGTGGATTTGCAAATAGCTCTACCAATTGGTGAAGCTGTATCGTGCAAGATAATTTATTTATAGCCTTCAAAAAACGTCTCCAATGAAATTTTGATGAAATTGCAACAATTCAACAGAAAAGATATGACGCTTGAAGCCAAAGGTTCCACATTCAAGAACATTCCCACCAAAGTTTGCCCAACCATCAAAAGAGGTTCGGTCGCCTAGGTTGGCTCTGGTCCAGAAATTCTTCATAAGTCTAGCGAAAAACAGAGAGTTGGAGAAATCATACATCGTCTTTGGTTTCGTTCTTCTAGAAGACATGGAAATTGCAGAGAAAATCGTTTAGCTTCCCACAAAACCAAATGTTTGGAGCAATATACCTGCATGTTGGAGGGAGATTTAGAGATGTTGATGTTGTCACCGATGGGGAGTTACCGTCGCTGCTAGAGAGTGAGAGGGTGTGGAGATCTGCAGACGTTGGTTTATAAGAGAGAGATTGTGAGCATCTGCGAGAGCGAGAGTGAGAGAATAGAATGAAAGGACATGAGAAGAGGAGGGTTACCTAGACGCCGAATGGGGTACTGCCTACTGTCACACCTCGAGAATTTCTGTGATACAATGAGCAACGTTTGAGGTGTACCAAAGGCACTGGAAGGTTCCGGAAGGTGTGAGAACGAGCTAGGGTATGTTGGAAGGCTATAGAACCTGGTGGAAAGGTCCGGAGTGGCCTAAAAGATTCTGGAATATTGTGATAGAACCTTGGAGGGTCCAGAAGAGTCTGGATGGGTCTGGAACATCCTAGAATATCATGGAGAAGCCTACCATGTGCTACACTAGTATAGAGAATTCTAGAAGGCAGTAGAAGGGTAGTTGTCCTAGATATTTCTATGGAGGGTTCTAGAGGAGAGCTTGTAGCCCTTGGATCAAAATGATCCTAGCCATCTATATGGGCCGAATATATTCGTCGCTGTCCATACTCATTGCATCCAAACTCTGTGATCAACCTGTGAACGCAACGGCGGTGAGCTACCTGGCGGGGTGTTGTCGGAAAACCCCTATGACGATCAAGTTAGCACACACTCAGGGAGAGAGAGAGAGGCTTAATGAATATTAGGTTTTTCTTACCAAATGATGTTCCATCCTAGTATGGGGGCGCAGTGATGCTTATATACTTTCTGCATTCACCTCTGCACCCACTCGTCTATTGACACGTGGAGCTACTCTCCCATCTGTCAGCGCAAATCCAGCTAAATACCACCTAACCAAACCGCCAAACAACATTAGCGGGAACGGGGCAGCCCGGTGGCATCACCTCGACCTCATACGATCGTGCTACGTAACGAGTCCGACGGCGCCACTCGTCGAGCTCCATCACAACCGAGCTCAGTAGCATCTCGGTACGACTGAGCTCCAGACAGGTTAAGCCGGTATTCAGAAGACCTTTCCCGCCGAGCTAAATGTGC